TTCTACCCAAGATACGACTTGTCGAAATCAGGTTGGTCATACTGCATGCGTCCATACCCGGTAAAACAGTTACATTCAGGAACTTATTGAGATCAGCGGCTGGAGGAGGTAGTGGTGCTGGTTTTAACAAACTTTTGTCGCCATGGTTATAAATTTTGTTTTATAATTTATGGTTTCTAATTTTAATGATCAAAATTACAGATTACGATACTTATAAAAGTTATAAACGTCACGTGACAAAGGACAGAACGTGTAACTATTATACTATACTGATATGCATACAAAAAGAACAAGTTTATTTGGTGTTTTTCAACTGTCATGAACCGTTTATATTTTTCAAACTAAGTCAATAAAATCATCCGGGATGAATTGAAATTAACATCTTGGTAGGTGCAAACAGTGGACAAAAGCAATTCAACCGTGGTCGGTAGCCCGTTGTCACTATCAATTAAGCTCTCTATCGGAATGGACGTTGGATCATGAGGCTAAAAGAGATATTTTGAAACAAACCAATAATTTATGCGAAATATTTTATAACAAATCATTAGCTTCTAAAAAACAATACCTTCTACAATTTATTGGCAACAAAAAGTATAGTAACCATGAATTTTAACTGTAGCAGCAAAATATTTTGACGGAAAAAGTACCATCCAGTTGGGCTGTAATAGTCTTCGAGTTGTGTTTATAGGAAATACCATATTTTCTGAATTGACCGATACGGCATTTTGAGGGTATGTGTAGTACATTAGTTGCGTTCTGTCTTCAATAATACCACTTGCGCCTTTTAGATAGACGTTTATGAAACTTTCTGACCCTGTGTTTGGTGTGTGACCAGAATAAACTTTCGCAAAAACCACGATATCAACTGCATCACTGAGAACTCCAGCATCAGCTAGAGAGATCACAACTCCTGTTGGGGTGATAACGTGATTCATACTAGAAAGCTTGTGGAACTAATAATAAACAACTAAAAATTCTGGTGAGGAATAAATTATTATCATCACCAATGGCGTAACTAGAACGATGATTGCTCTCACGTAGTCTAGTGTGGTCTATAGAGTTTCCTGTGTCTGCTAAATAATGTGCCCTTTTCTAAAACCTGCAACTCTCGTCATGAACTGCTTTAGACGCCACTAACAAGTTAACTCAGCCAATTATTTGCAAGTGATTTAACTAATAAACATGCAATACCTACCGTTTTATGACAATCCAGTTGAACTTTGAAGTTCTCGGTTTTTATTATCTAAATCCTTGTAGCAAACATAGTTTAATTTTTTAATACATTAACTTTGCCAAATGTATAAAATAATTTTGCATGCGTTGCGACTGTACACAAAAAATGACAAGGCTGTATTTTCTGCATTTCACAACATTTTGTAAACCAAACTTTGCAATTTTACTAATTCCAGTATGCTCTTACAAGCTGTGGTGACGATCATGGTGATTGCTAATGGCCCATTTAAACTATGCAATTTGTCGTATGCTAAACAACGTGTGGAAATCATCCCAGTACAGCATCAAGACCAAACTAAGACTGTACCAGAGCTGCGTACTTTCCACCCTATTGTATGGCTCAAAATGCTGGAGGATGACTGAAAGCGACCTCAAACAACTGCCCACCTTCCATACCAAGAACCTTAGAAGAATCCTGCCAATATTCTGGCCCGAGACAATCTCCAACCAACATCTTCTCGCCCGCTGCAACCAAGACAGCATGGGCACCGTCGTCATGCAAAGGCGATGGGGATGGATCGGATATGTGATGAGAAGAAAACTTGGCAACATTTCCCGCACAGCCCTTCACTGGACGCCAGAGAGGAAACGGAAACGGGGGCGACCCAAGAACACCTGTCGTCGAACCGTAGAAGGGGAGCTTAAGACCCTCCATCACACATGGGGGACTGTTCAAAAGCTGGCCCAGAACAGACAGGAGTGAAGTACCTTTGTTTCCGCCCTACATGCCAGCCGGCATAACGGGCATGAGTGAGTGAGTGATTTTTCGTATATGATTAGTATCCTGGCGTATGTGAACGTATGAACACACGTACCAGCGTGACACTTTAATCCAACCTGAACTAAATTAAATGAAGATTGTGGCCGTAGGTCCTCTTCTGCATTTGTCGGAATGATAATTCCATACAACTTATCGTGTAGTGTAAATAGACCTTATCATGTACTCAAATACCTCACTCTTGTATAACAATTACTTATTTTACAAGAAAACTTCGATTATAATTTCATGTTCTCTTTAGGATCTGGGAAAGTACACAATAGAGAATTAACACTGAATTGCTTCGAAAATTCTTGGAAATATGAAAGCGAGATATAAAACAACTGGGTGATGTTTACGATGGATTGGCTTCTATGAAGGTAATGTGTACCCAGTATCTTACCTATAGAGTCTTTAGAGCGCGATAAATGCATGATATCGTGCAGTCACTCCAGTATACAAATCAGTGACTGAGAAAGCGAGCGCGTCAAATCTGAACCACTGAACTATGACGAACACAACCGGAATGATAACTGGTAATAAACCTGTTTGCAATCAGGTGACTTCTCCTCCTAAAGACAAACAATCAAAAGTCTCTTAGGGCATTCGCTGGAGGCGATTTTCGTGTAAAGCAATTCAATATTCTTTGCGGAAAGTGCTTTTTAAGCCATCTTACATCATCACATCGACAGAAATAGTAAAATATGAGTGGGTGAGGCGCCGTTCGAACTAGCTTAGTACTATATTTAGAGATAAGGCGCTTAGAACGGGCGGGGTTCTGGTTTTGCCAAACTTGTTTAAAGCTCGAATGGATACAAATAATTATAATATTAATCCATAGACAATCAAACGAAAGGAATGTCCATGAATGTCGTCCTTTGAATTTCTATGACTAGACCAAGTCGTGAAAAATTTTAGGTCAGACTTAACGGACAATCTCCTGAACAATTTAAACAAGTTTTTAAATATTAAAAATTCATAACAACATATTAAGACAAGTATGTGTCTTTGTTTGGATGAAGTTTAAGCCCGGCGCACACTGGAGGAAACAGCTGAGCTGAGCGTCACTCGTGGCTGTTGGCTGAGCTGTTTCCTCAGGTGTGCGGTGTCGTGTTCCGCGATTTTCGCCACGCGTGCCATGAGCGCAGAATATTCAACATGTTGAATAATTTTGTGCACGAGTGAACATTTCCTCACAGTGTGCGCGCGTTCTAAACTATCAGCTCAGCAATCAATGCCAACGCGCATGCGTCTTTTCCATGTTTTACTGAAGTCAAGATGGCGGCAAACAACTCACCAGTTGCTGAAGCAGTGTTGGAAGATAAATTGGCCGATTTTTGGCCCGATTACCCTTGTCTGTACGACGTTCGAAGTCCAGACTTTAAGAACCGGGAGATACGCGATAAGGCGCTTCAAGAACTGGCCGAAAAACTCGGAACAACATGTAAGATAATTCAGATTTTATTAGCGCAAATTAATGCACAAACAATTATAATTTTGAAGCTAAGCTTTTATATATATTTTTGAAGGTAAGACCGCGCTTGTGTTTAGCAGCTTATAACTAAACAACCCATAATAGTTCCTTCATATAACTCACCCGATTGTTTGTGTGCCTCTAGTAATGCAACAGTAATCTTAGGCCTAGATAATGAGACGATAACATCACTAAGCTCATTACCATCTCATTATCTATTGTTCGAATTGTACTATTCTACGCCAGTGGCGTAGGAACCGGGAAGACACGGGGAGCACGTGCCCCTCCCCTCAAACAAATTAAGGGGATAGCAGGCCCATAAAAAATTAATTTGATTAGAGACTAATAATGCAGAACGCGAATATATGAATATTAGTTGTAGTTGCATTATGTCTGGAAGGTTCAATTAGCAAAAATATGGATTTGCATCGATTTGAAACGAGATTTTTCCAGTGTGATTATAGTTCTTATATTTAGTTATTTATATATTGATATTACAACAATAAAAATTCATAAAAACCAGTAAGTGTCATTACAGAGGTCAGTAGACTATGAAGGTATATGTTAAGGTATATCACTAGACTATGTTGCCATACATACAAATGGAACAAGTTTACGTGAAGTTTGACTCACATGCTCTCTACGGTTATAAACAGTATATATTTTCAGGCTAATCTACTTTTGTGTAGATTCGCACTAAACGACCTACTAGTTTGTTAAAACACACACACACGATTGTTTTTGGCCCTTAATGAACAAGAATTATTGAAGAATGGTAATCAACCGTCATGCTTTGCAATTATTATCGCTAACATCTTGCCTTAAAAGTGATCCACTAACTGTCTTGCATTTTCATTAGAAGGGTAAATTAGCAAATAAATTTCGCATGGATTATAAACAGAAATCTAGATTTTTAGGCGTGAAATGTGACTGAGTTGATTTGACCACGCAAAGCATGATGGTAAACACACAATCCTTAAAATATTCCTTGCATCAATAAACACCGACAAATACACCCTATGCAATCTCCCAGCCATCTTCATAGTTCATCCTTGTACCAAACCCTTTGTATCCTCGCATGTTAACGTTGCACGCAGTATACGGAAGGACCAAGGCACGAGTATGAACCGACTAGGCATGTGCTAGGAACCGATTAGGGCGGTAAAAATAACCCAAATTACATTATGACTGCAACAACTATTGCCGAAAATTATAGTCCGTTTATTCAGATGAGCAGTTCACCAACGTTTATAATTTATATAATGATTATCAGGTTAACTAACTGTTCTTTGTACAAGTTTGTCTAGATTACTAGATGATCCTCTCCGTAGTAGAGCTAAAATGTAGCACACATGCACACAAAAAATGGATACAAAAGTAAATACGATTATGTTGATTTACTCAGTTCAACAACAAAGGAATACCATGTTGTGAAATTCAGATAATTCTTTTCCTTACGAACTCGTCGTTCATAATGTGAAAATATTGGGATAATTTCTCATAACATTGCTTTCCTCTCCGTTAAATAGTTCTGAATCAATCTTTATTAATGAAAGAGTCCCACAGCGCTTCCTCAGCAAAAGGTCTCTTATCAATCTTGTGATGAATCAGCCACGCCACAAACTTTCGAGCTTTACGATCACCAAGTTTCTTCAAATTCACAGGGTTTCCTTTCAAAATATTTCTCATTCGATCAAACTGAGATCCAAAAGGGTGTTCACCTTTTGTTAAGATGAAGAAAGCAATCATACCCGCTACCTGGACATCCGATTTCTTTTTGAAAGGACCTTTTTCTTGTTTCTCTACTGCTTCAATTACTTCTGTTGGCACCCATCCGGGAGTGCCGTTAGCGTCTGTTTTAACCGTCGTTTCATCCTCTTTTAGAACGCGGCTTAATCCAAAATCTGCCAATTTCATGCAACCCTCGATATCAGCCAGGACGTTTGATGGTTTTAGATCTCTGTGCAATATTCCTTTACCATGAAGAAATTTAAGTCCTGATAGAATTTCTTTGATCATTCGTGGACCACGCTCTTGTAGATGTTCAATGCTGGATGCATGAACAAGTTCCTTTAAGGTTTCTTCGCAAAGATCAAGAATAAGATACATGGAGGTATCGTCACGGTGAAAATGTCGATAACTCACTATAAATGGCGAGTCGCTTGTTTTAATAAGATCCATAATTTCCCTTTCGTTTTCAGCTACTTTATCACACTTTTCTACCTGCATTTTCTTTACAGCAACTTCAGTCCCATCCTTCATGAGACCAACATAGACACTTGAATATCCACCATCGCCAATTCTGAATTGCTTTTCGGCGACAAAGGCCTGCATCGGAATGCCAATCTTTGAAAAAAAAACACGATAAATATTCCACAGTGAGAAGAAAAAAGCAAGAACACATTCACAGTTTAAAAAGTATATTCTCAACTTCTGATTATCGAAATCTCAAATCAATGCTATATTTGCAAGTGATTTTATCAGAAAGACATAATTCTAATGAAAATATTGTACATTGTACACAATAGGCTTATGCGAGCCGGGGCGTTGGTAGCTGCTGCTTGAGCCCCTCCCCGGTTTTCCGTTCATTCTTTGAGCAAAATATTCTTAACAAATAAACCGTTCTTTTGATGCTGTTCGTTTAAGCTTAGATTTAATCGGGTAAGAATATATTTAATACATATAGATTCTGGTCCTATTTTACTAATATCGCTGCTATTTCGCCGTTTAACAAGATGTGGTCGTGTATGGGCGCGTTGACACGTCGTTGTTTGCATAAGAACGACGGGAAAGTATAAGACAAAGTGAACGTATCATGCGGTTTATTTACAATTTTAAACTATTGAACTTCTATACTTTTCAAAGTGCGATGTGCTTCTGAATGTCGCGATCGAACAACATTTAGGTTTGCAAGGCATCAAAATTAAATGAGTATGAACTGTATTGTTTATGTCCAGAAGCTTCATATTGAAGACTCGCACGTGCGCGGCACGCCGGAGTTAACGCCAGAACGGGCGTATTGTTGGATTATATTTTGAGGAGTTACTCGATTTTTGCGTCCGAAATGTTTTAAGCAACCCTCAGTCATCGTTTCTTTACATTGTGAATGTAATTTGATTTGAGCACGCAAAGCATGATGCTAAACACACAATCTTTAAAATATTTCTTGCATCAATAAACACTGACAAAATACATCGCATGCAATGTCGCATCCATCCCCATTATAGTTCATCTCCGTACCAAACTCTGCGAATTCATGTGCGACGGCACATGCGCCGTCTTTAGGGGGATAAATTCCTTTCAAACAAAACCCACACCGCGGAAAAGCAATATTTCAATTTACAGTAACGGTAAGATTCCTCAACATTTTTGTGAACTTAGCAAAATGGATAGAGAATTAATAAATAATACAAATTAAACTGATGACCTAACTAAAAAAATAAACCACGACTACCCCCCGAAAAGTTTACTCTATGACTGACTGACGCTTTGCACTAAAAATATTTCTCCAGGAAAAACAAAACAAAACAACTGGGCCGCTTGTGTAAAACTATTTAACAACAAGTTGCATATTTAAATCCTAGTTAACTCAGAAATACACGACTCTGATTAACTACAGTTAGAAGTTAACTAGTCTTTTATAAAACTGGCCCCTGGTGGTAGAATGCTACATCAGATGGTGTAGAAAAAATCGATTGGAAAATTCGGAAGACAAAAATTTTTTGCGGAATATTTGCCTCAGCCACTCCCCTCAATGGACGACTTGCGCTTTAGACTAATTTTTGATCGAAGTAACTAGAGGAAAATAAATCATCACAGCTGGAAAGATCTTACTTAAATTAGTGCAAATGCAAAGTTTGGCTGCGAAATTTTGTAAAATACGGAAAATATAGCCATGCGAAGTTGGCAAATTTTGTATACTTTTGCATTACGTGCGGAAATGTGTAACTAAATTAGTTACAAACTTTTGGCCGTAATACAAAAGTATACAAAATTCGTCAACTTCGCATGGCTATATTTCCCGTAATTTACAGCAATTCGCAGCCAAACTTGGCAGTTTTACTAATTTTAGTAAGCTCTTTCAGTAAATGTCCTTTTTATCGCCAAAGTAAGAAATAAGTCTAAAGCGCAAGTCGTCCATTGAAATGGGCCCCTCACGCCATTGGTTCTTTTACCTGCCCAGTCTTACATCACTATACTCATCCATGTATATATGCATGGTTTGGTGCGGATCTGAATGGTTAATCTTAGTTTTGGTAAACTGAACCCTAGCCTGCAACGCAGACTATATATTGGGGATATATAGTCTGCTAATCAGCGGCACAAAGCTTGTATGGTCACGTGGGTTTCCCGAGAAATTGTGGGACTCATTTTGATTGGTTAGCTTATAATCATGCAAAATAATCAAAATTTCAGAATATTTATAATTTTCACAAACAACATGACGTCCTTCATCGAACCATCTTCGCTTGAGAAGAGCACTTTTCGGAAGCTATTCGGATTGTATGCTGTTTTTTTCAAGTGGAAAGTCTTCATCGAGAGCAAGTCGAGGCACTCAAAGCCTTCTTACTCGCTAAGAATATCTTCTTTAGTGCCGGCACAGGCTACGGGAAGTCTCTAGTCTTCCAAGCGGTTCCTCTCCTCGCTGACCTTCTCGAAGAACAAGTCGTTGGAACCAGCATTGTCATCGTAATATGTCGGCCGCAATGTCGAGAGAATGCTTTCCTTTTATAAGATTTATATCTGACTTCTTTTCCAGCACAGAGAAACACAGCACGCACATCAGCGCGGCCATGTTGTCACAAATAATTATGCAATTTGCGCGCAAATCATATACATAATCAAATTATAATACCGGAAATGATTCGAACATTCACGTGACCATACAAGCTTTGTGCCGCTGATTAGCAGACTATATATACCCCAATATACAGGGTGTATAAAAAAAATGTCCCAAATGTAAAATTTCCGTTTTTCAGGATATTTTGCAGAATTTGGCAAATTTTTGTGTTCCTAGAGATAGTTAAGACTTATCTGGTATACCTAGGCCAAGTTTGGTTTTTCATTAACAAAATTATGTTACCGGGGGGGTGGTTCCTTTCCACTGATATTGAGAGGGCTTGCGCGCGAAAATGTGAAGCTGAAATTGAGATATTATTTAGCTGTCTAAAAGTAGGAAAGCTTTTTAATAAACTGTCAAAGTTTCAGGAAAAATAATGCATACTGGGAGCAACGCGCGACCCCTAAAAGTGACAAATATTTCATTGCGCGCAGTGGATTAAATGCATGGTTGATTTTAGCGTGACCGATCTCATATAAGGCTGGGTAAATGAATAAATTAAAGCGAGAAACTGAACACAAAAACAAAGCGATTTAATAATAAGATTCTTATTCTTGATGTTAATCCTCAACATTTCCACCATTTCTTTCTAAGCAAACTGCGGCTCGTCTGAGCATGGTAAACACTGAACGGCAAACCACATTTGTCTGTCCTGCCTCAAATTATCCATTTCGTTCGAAATTCTTTCTTGCAAATCGCCTACGCTACCACCGGCAAATCTAGGCGAATGGACAGACAAATGGTTCGCTGTTCAGTGCTTAGTATGCTCAGACAAGCAGCAGTTTGCTTAGAATGAAATGGTGGACATGCTGAGGATTAACATCACGAATAAATCGCTTTGTTTTTGTGTTCAGTTTCTCGCTTTAATTTATTCATTTACCCAGCCTTACATGAGATCGGTCACGCTAAAATCAACCATGCATTTAATCCACTGCGCGCAATGAAATATTTGTCACTTTTAGGGGTCGCGCGTTGCTCCCAGTATGCATTATTTTTCCTGAAACTTTGACAGTTTATTAAAAAGCTTTCCTACTTTTAGACAGCTAAATAATATCTCAATTTCAGCTTCACATTTTCGCGCGCAAGCCCTCTCAATATCAGTGGAAAGGAGCCACCCCCCCCGGTAACATAATTTTGTTAATGAAAAACCAAACTTTGCCTAGGTATACCAGATAAGTCTTATCTATCTCTTGGAACACAAAAATTTGCCAAATTCTGCAAAATATCCTGCTAAACGGAAATTTTACATTTGGGACATTTTTTTGATACACCCTGTATAGTCTGCGTTGCAGGCTAACTGAACCCGTGCGCGAAACCAAATGCGCGAAACCAAATTCGCGTCAGCGAGCTGCGATGTCGTTTGTTTGTAAACTTCCCAATAACCTTAGATAGGATATTTTGCAAAACTTATTACTCAATCTAACATATGTTTAAAAATATTACCTCTTCTAACTGGTTACAGTTCGTTATTTTCAACTTCTGAATTTTCTCACGATGTTTTACGGAACTTTTAAAGATAGTTGCAATTTCATCATGACCAAGGTGGATGCTCCATTCAAGAAGATTCATTCCTTGACCTTTAACAATAATCTTTTGCTCTCTCCACATCGCGATGTCCTTCTCATAAAGAAGATTGACCAAGGCGACGAAATTGTTTCTAACAGCCATTTGGAGGATGACAATACCAACAGAAAAGAGGTATTCATTTCTAACAGTTATATCAGCACCTTGTTCAACTAAATATTTGACAGTTACTAAATCACCAACACGAACAGCAGACTGCACCACTGTCTCCCCGTTAGAATCATTGGCATTCACATCAGCACCGTTCTCGACAAGATATTCTACCATTTCTAGCGAACCTTTTCTAACAGCACTGTGCAGCACTGTCAATCCGCTATTCTTTATTGCATTTACATCAGCGCCAATTCCGACAAGATATTTCACCATTTCTGGCTTACCTTTAGAGATAGCAGAGTACAGCACTGTCTCCCCAAGAGTATTCTTGGCATTTACATCAGCGCCTTTCTCAACAAGATATTTCACCATTTCTAGCGAACCTTTTAAAACAGCACTGTGGAGGACTGTCCATCTGTTGTTCTTTTTTGCATTTACATCAGCGCCATTTCCCACAAGATATTTCAGCAGACTGCAGCACTGTCTCCCCGTGAGTATTCTTGGCATTTACATCAGCGCCTTTCTCAACAAGATATATAACCATTTCTAGCGTACCTTTTACAACAGCACAGTGCAACACTGTCAATCCGCTATAGTTTTTTCCATTTACATCAGCCCCATTTCCCACAAGACATTTCACCATTTCTAGCGTACCCTCAGAAACAGCAGAGTGCAGCACTGTTTTCCCGTCAGTATCCTTGGCATTTACATCAGCGCCTTTCTCAACAAGATATTTCACCATTTCTAGCTTACCTTCAGAAATAGCAGAATGCAGCACTGTTTGCAGGTGAGTATTCTTCACATTTACATCAACGCCCTTCTCAAGAAGATATTCCACCATTTCTAGCGAACCTTTTACAACAGCACAGTGCAACACTGTCAATCCGCTATTGTTTTTTCCATTTACATCAGCCCCATTTCCCACAAGACATTTCACCATTTCTAGCGTACCCTCAGAAACAGCAGAGTGCAGCACTGTCTCCCCGTGAATATTGCTGCTATTTACATCAGCACCTTGTTCAACGAGATATTGAACAATGTCTAAATTACCAACTGCAACAGCAAAATGCAAAGCTCTCCACCCGTCAGCATCTGTTCCATTTACATCTGCGCCATTTTCAACAAAATATTTTACCATTTCTAGCCACTCCTTATTAACAGCACTCTCCAGTACTGTCCATCTCTTATTATTTTTACAAATATATATCAGATGTGGATATTTCACCATTTCTGGCGTACCCTCAGAAACAGCAGAGTGCAGCACTGTCTCCCCGTGAGTATTCTTGGCATTGACATCAGCGCCCTTCTCAACAAGATATTTCACCATTTCTAGCGTACCCTCAGAAACAGCAGAGTGCAGCACTGTTTTCCCGTCAGTATCCTTGGCATTTACATCAGCGCCCTTCTCAACAAGATATTCTACCATTTCTAGCCTACCTTTAGAAACAGCAGAGTGCAACACTGTCCATCCGCTATTCTCTTTTACATTTACATCAGCGCCACTTCCCACAAGATATTTCACCATTTCTAGCGAACCATTTACAACAGCACTGTGCAACACTGTCCATCCGCTGTTCTTTTTTCCTTTTACATCAGCGCCATTTCTCACAAGATATTTTGCTATTTCTAGCCTACCTTTAGAAACAGCTGAGTGCAGCACTGTCTTCCTATCAGTATCCTTGGCATTTACATCGGCGCCCTTCTCAACAAGATATTCCACAATTTCTAGGGAACCATTTACAACAGCACTGTGGAGGACTGTCCATAGGCTGTTCTTTTTTACATTTACATCAGCGCCATTTCCCACAAGATATTTCACCATCTCTAGCGCACCTTCAGAAACAGCAGAGTGCAGCGCTGTCTCCCCATGAGTATCCTTAGCATTTACATCGGCGCCCTTCTCAAGAAGATATTTTACCATTTCAAAGGTACCTTCAGTAACAGCCGAACGCAGCACTGTCTCCCCGTGAGTATTCTTAGCATTTACATTAGCGCCCTTCTCAACAAGATATTCCACCATTCCTAGCGAACCTTTTACAACAGCACTGTGCAACACTGTCCATCCGCTGTTCTTTTTGCTATTTACATCAGCGCCATTTACCACAAGATATTTCACCATTTCTAGCGCACCTTCAGAAACAGCAGAGTGCAGCGCTGTCTTCCCTTGAGTATCCTTAGCATTTACATCAGCGCCATTCTCGACAAAATATTCTACCATTTCTAACAAACCTTTTAGAACAACACTGTGCAACACTGTCCTTCCGTGAGTATTCTTAACATTTATATCAGCGCCGTTTCCCACAAAATATTTCACAATTTCTAAGTTACCTTCAGTAACAGCAGAGTGAAGCACTGTCTTCCCGTAAGTATTCTTGACATTTACATCAGCGCCCCTCTGAACAAGATATTTTACTATATCTGTCCTGCCTTTAGAAAAAGCAGAGTGCAACGCTGTTTCCCCGGTAGTCTTCTTACAATTGACATCAGCGCTCTTCTCAACAGGGCAGTTTACTATTTCTAAAGTATCTTGAGTAACACACAGTGCACAGTGCAGAACTGATGGCATTTGAATTTTGTCATTAACATCAGCGCCATGTTCAACAAGATACTCTATTATTTCTAGTGTGCCTTTAAAAATCGCATGGCGCAGCACCATCCATCCCCTACTATCCTCGCTATTTACATTAGCGCCCATGTCAACAAGATATTTTACCATTGCTGGCGTACCTTCAGTAACAGCAGAGTGAAGCATTGTCCAATCGTAAGTGGTATCCTTGGCATTCACATCAGCGCCCATTTCTACTAGATATTTTACAACTTCTAGCGTACCTTTAGAAATAGCATCGTAAAGCACCATCCACCCGCCATTTCTCTTACCATTTACATTAGCGCCCATTTGAACAAGACATTTTACCTTTTCTAGCGTACCTTTTGTAACAGCATCATGCAGCACTGTCCACCCATCGGTCTTTTTGCCATTTACATCTGCCCCCAGTTCAACAAGATATTTCACCATATCCAATGAACTATAAGAAACAGCATAGTGCAGTACTGTCCAGCCGTCTGTAGTATCCTTGCCGTTTACAACAGCGCCATTTTCAACAAGATATTTTACAACTTCTGGAGTAGTTTTTTTAACAGCAGCGTGCAGCACTGTCCACCCGTCAGTACCCTGGCCATTTACATCAGCGCCCTGTTCAACAAGATATTTCACCAATTCTAACGTACCTTCTGTAACAGCAAGTTGTAGCATTGTCCCCCCGTCTGGAGTCCTAGCATTCATGTCTGCACCACATTGTTTGACTAAGTATTTGACAATTTCTGTTCGACCAAAATAAACAGCATGATGTAAGGCAGTATTTCCGGAATCATCTTTACAATGTATATCAGTCCCACAATCTTCAACGAATTATTTCACAATTTCTAATGATCGAGACTGTATTGCACTCTGAAGAACTTTAGAATCGTCTTGAAAATTATGTTCAGGACCATATTGAACAAAATACTTAACAAGATCAAATAAACCATTTCTCGTCGCTATCGACAAAACTGTTTCACCATCTTCGTTCTGGGAATAAATGCTTGCTCCATGGTCAACTAAATATTTAACAAATTTTTGATCTACTGGACTAAATTGAAAAGCACGCCAATGAATTGTTTTCTTCCAACGATTTTCTTTGTTTTCACCACGTTCAACTTGCTTTTTTATTTCGTCCCGAAATTTCTGTTTCCCTTCTTCACAGACATTTATGCTTCCACTTGCCTCTTTCTCGTTCTCAATACCTATAAATATGCAACATTAAGATGCAATTTACATGAAAAAGAAAGATGAAAAATAAACCGAACGAAATTTCATTGCGGATCAGACTCCCGCAATAATTTATCGTTCGCATTACGCAGGCATAAATGATTTCCGGAAGAGGTGAAATTATACAATAGTCGGGAGAAAACGGCTGTAAACTGTAATATCTATAACTTAATTTGTCTTCCGAAAAAGGCCTAAAATCCGTTCATGTCAGGGATTTATTTCGTGGAGTCAAGCACCTTTAAGGAGTCTTAAATTTTAAAAGGGGATATTTATTATTTTACTCATTTATTTAGTATCGCCTTTGCCAAAAGCGAACGCAATTGCCTAGGCCAATTATTGTGGGACCTTGATGGTTAGGGCCGTATAGCCAGAAGCTTAATTATGGGGGGTGTATATTCATATATTCATCTTAAGGCGGATTTCCTGGATGGAAGAGAATAGGATTTTTACTTCTATCATAGGACGCTTGTTTTAATTCTCACCGCTATCACATTCTTTGTTTTGAATGCCTTTTTCTTGGAGTTCATCATCAACTTCTTTCTGTTTATTAACAGACTGGGCTTGTTTATTTTCGGACGAAGCGATATTATTGTTTTCCGTAAAGCTTGAAGTTACGTCGCTGTCCTCAGCCTGGGACATCATAACATTATCATCTTCCATGAGTTCAGTCATTCTTATATTATTTTTTACAATCTTCTTCGGTGCTTATAACAAAGTCATATCATCCTGCCTGACCAACATCTTCGAAATAGCGCGATGGGAACCTGAAAACCAAGTAATTAATTACTGTTAGCTTCAAATGTTTACTGAAAACTGTGGAAAAATCACTATCCGGCGGAAGCACTATCTAATTTTCGTCAAATCGGCCCTGGAAGGATAACAGCTATCTTTGGAGCCAATTTATAGGTGAATCTAGACCATTACCAGTCACATTTCTCGGCGCGTAAAAACGTCGGCACTCTTACGTCGGCGCGATTGTCCACGGTGAAGACAAAAGCAGACGACATAGGAGCCGAGAAGTCGTTCCAGTTTAACTGTTTAAGTAAAGTTCACTGCTTTATCTAATGTACTGGCAAAACAGATCAGTGTACACGACCCAATTTTTGTTTTCTAACGTTAATCTAGGCCAACTATTTGTTTCGGTTGTATATCGCGTATCGACGATCAACAAACAAACGAACGAAAAATGCTTTACATGCAATAGACCCTCCACGCAGCCATAACAATAGCCAATATAATGATTCTAGTCATGCGCTTCTTAATTCACAATGCTGTTTGCTAACTTGCTACCCTTAATCCTTAGTTATCAATGATGATGTGAAGTCTGTTCTACGAATAATTTCTGTTCAAAACAAATTAAGCAACATTTCAAAGGTTATCTTCAACGGAAAATTAATTAAAATGAAATCAAATAAGACAAAGCTTCTTTTAGTATCCAACTGTCATGACGCGAGCTTTGAAATATTGGCGAGTTTTTTATGAAACGAAAATATGTCTAAAACAGACTTTACAAAATTCAAAGCAACACAACAGCTAAGGGGTTTAGACCAGTCACCATAGAAAGGGTCAACTGTACGATCAGAGTGTATATTCTTTATATATTCATGTTCATAAACCGTAACTGAAACAATCGTCTTTAAAAGGGAATCAGTCGGGCATACAAGACGGATGTTTGAATATGCACCCTCGATTTTGCTATCTTGTTATTGACTATTCTAGGGCTATTCTAGGTATAGTTTGGGTCTCTACGGTTAATTAACACTGCTACACACAATATGCCTCGCACAAATATGATACTCGATAATCCCATGATTATTAGTTGCGTCTCAGTTCTGTAGTACTGGACAAATTACTGACTAAGCAGGGTTCTTTATTAACTTTCTACCTTAAATAGTTGATATCCAACGATGACGACACGGCATCCAAAATAAAACAAATATAATTTGGATAAAAAACCTTTGTAGTCTTCTTTTCAGACTTAATCTTCGATCACGAAATCAAATATCGTCAATAATATTATTAGTTATCCAATAATATTAGTTATAGCCATCCAATCACTTTGCTGTATGAACTTGTACCATCATTAATATGGTTGTATGCTGTATGTTCTGTCGATGAAGTAATCCCGCCGGAAGTAGGATTGCCCCGAATAGTAAACGAAACTAGTTCTCAGGCTTTAGAAGGGTAAAAACCGTCAAAAGTATACAATAATTGGCACGGCCGTATTTTGTGGATTTTAAAACATTTTACAACTAAACTTTGCCATTTTACTAATTCTAATATGAATTTACTAGCTGTCGTGATTTATTTCCGTTTTCTTGCCCAGATACAAAGGTAATAGACTGACATGCAAATTGTGCCATTTTGGTAATATTTCGTTATCAAATACTAAACGATTACTTAGATTACTTTACAAATCTCGGAAATACGAATAATTTTTCCGTTTCCATCATCTGAAATATTTTATTTTTAATTTTTGTACCAACCCACTAGCCAGATATTGAATTTATCAACCAGATATTTTAAACATAGGGGTTTAAAGAGTCTTAATTTCGAGTGGAATTAAACTAGTTTCCGAAGACTATATAGTTTCATATAGTCTTCAGAGTCTGCGAGAGCAAAGAAAAATAATAAAAATCTTGAACAATCTATAGATTGGGTTCTAGAAAGGTAAAGTGGTTTAGCCTCTTTGAAAGGCGTTTAACTTAAACCGTGGTGAAACCCAAGTTTAGAAAATACCATCATACATTTTGTGCACGACTGAACCAGCCTCTTTCACCAGCTTTAATATATAAGTACTTCCACTGAAAATTAAATTATTTACATAGAAATATTTCAGCTCAGTTGTTTAAAAAATAAATGATTTTGCTTTCCAGTTTGAACTTATCTGCCGTTTAAGCTAAAAGACTTTCGAACAGCTGGCTCCTAGATCACGTTCAGCTATACTGATAGATCAGAGTCTAAGGAAGCTCGCGTATAATTTCAAGCCAATCTTTTAGAACTTGTTGAATAACTCGTGATAACCAGGTTGGAAAACAAGTGACTTTTATTCCTAATGCCTGACAATCAAACAGCGTTTCGAGCGATTTTTTTTCTATCATAGCCAAGAAGAATTCTAAACTCTGCAGCAATTAAAAATAACTCTCAATAAAAGTGTACGTCGTTACGAGCTGCTTTTTAAAATCTTTAGTCTACCTCTTTCAATAAACTGGTGGAACATAGCTAATAATATAAAAGGTCGTTTGTTACTATTTTCCGCGCTTCGACCCAAGATACGACTTGTCGAAATCAAATCGCTCATACTGCATGCGTCCATACCTGGTAAAACAGTTGCATTCAGGAACAATTGAGATCAGCGGCTGGGGGAGGCAGTGGTGCTGGTTTTGACAAACTTTTGTCGCCATGGTTATAATTTTGTTTTATCATTTATGGTTCCTAATTTTAATGATCAAAATTACAGATTACGAAAGTTATAAAAGTTATAAACGTCACGTGACAAAGGACAGAACGTGTATCTATTATACTATACTGATATGCATACAAAAAGAACAAGTTTATTTGGTGTTTTTCTACTGTCATGAACAGTTTATATTTTTCAAACTAAGTCAATAAAATCATCCGGGATGAATTGTAAATAACATCTTGGTAGGTGCAAACAGTCGCCAAAAACAATTCAACCGTAGTCGGTAGCCCGTTGTCACTATCAAAAGCTCTCTATTGGAATGTCTGTTGAATCGCGAGGCTGACATCGTGGTTTTTGCGAAAGTTTATTCTGGTCAAACACCAACGACAGGGTCTGAAAGTTTCATAAACGTCTATCTAAAGGGCGCAAGTGGTATTATTGAAGACGAAAGGCAACTAATGTACTGCACATACCCTCAAACTGCCGTATCGGTTAATTCAGAAAATATGGTTTTTCCCATAAACAGCAACTCGAAGACTATTACAGCCCAAGTGGATGGTACTTTTCCGTCAAGAAATTTTGCTGCTACAGTTAAAATTCATGCTTACTATACTTTTTGTTGCCAATAAATTGTAGAAGGTATTGTTTTTTAGAAGCTAATACAACATTTCGCATAAATGACCTAGAATTGTTTTGTTTCAAATTATCTCTTCAACTGCATCACTGGGAACTCCGGCATCAGCTAGAGAGATCACAACTCCTGTTGGGGTGACAACGTGATTCATACTAGAAAGCCTGTGGAACTAGTAATAAACAATTAAAAATTCTGGTGAGGAATAAATTTTCATCATCACCAATGGCGTAACTAGAACGATGATTGCTTTCACGTAGTTTAATGTGGTCTATAGAGTTTCTTGTGTCTGCAAAATAATGTGCCCTTTCCTAAAACCTACAACTCTCGTCATGAACTGCTTTAGACACCGCTAACAAGTTAATTCAGGCATTTATTTGCAAGTGGTTTAACTAATAAACATGCAATACTTACCGTTTTATGACAATCCAGTTGAACTTTGAAGTCTTCGCTTTTTATTATCTATATCAATTGTAGCAAACATAGTTTAATTTTTAATACATTAACTTTGCCAAATGAGTAAAATAATCTTTGCATGCGTTACGACTGTACACAAAAAATGACAAGGCTGTATTTTCTGCATTTTACAACATTTTGTAAACCAAACTTTGCAATTTTACTAATTCCAGTATGCTCTTACAAGCTGTGGTGACGATCATGGTGATTGCTAATGGCCCATTTACACTATGCAATTTGTCGTATGCTAAACTTCTTGTGGAAATCATCCCAGTACAGCACCAAGACAAACTAAGACTGTACCAGAGCTGCGTACTTTCCTCCCTATTGTATGGCTCAGAATGCTGGAGGATGACTGAAAGCGACCTCAAACAACTGTCCACCTTCTACACCAAGAACCTTAGAAGAATCCTGCGAATATTCTGGCCCGAGACCATCTCGAACCAACATCTTCTCGCCCGCTGCAACCAAGACAGCATGGGCACCATCATCATGCAAAGGCGATGGAGATGGATCGGGCATGTAATAAGAAGAGAACCTGGCAACATTTCCCGCACAGCCCTCCACTGGACACCAGAGGGGAAACGGAAACGCGGGCGACCCAAGAACACCTGGCGTCGAACCGTAGAAGGGGAGTTTAAGACCTTCCATCACACATGGGGAACAGTTCAAAAGCTAGCCCAGAACAGACAGGAGTGAAGTATACCGTTGCTTTCACCCTCCATGTCAGCCGGCATAACGGGCATGAGTAAGTGAGTGATTTGTCGTATATGATTCGTACCCTGGCGTATGTGAACGTATGAACAGAACGTATGAACACTCTCTGGGAGAGTACAGAAGAGAATGAACGCTGAATTTCTTCGAAAATTTTTGGAAATCTGAAAGGGAGATATAAAACAACTGGGTGATGTTTACGATGGATTGGCTTCTATGAAGGTAATGTACCTCAGTATCTTACCTACTAACGCGATAAATGCATGATATCGTGCAGTCACTCCGGTATACAAATCAGTGACTGAGAAAGCGAGTGCGTCAAGTCTGAACCACTGAACTATGACGAACACAACCGGAATGATAACTGGTAATAAACATGTTTGCAATCAGGTGACTTCTCCTCCTAATGACAAACAATCAAAACGTCTCTTAGGGCATTCGCTGGAGGCGATTTTTGTGTACAGCAATTCAATATTCTTTGCGGAAACTGCTTTTTAAGCCATCTTACATCCTCACATCGACAGATAAAGTAATAGTAAAATATGACCGTTCCATTACGGGAAAGTGCCGGTCCATTACGGGAAAGTAATGGAGTAATGCAGCGCTGAAAACTCTTCTCCGCCAATCACTGAGCTCTATTTCGCCGGAAGTGACACTTGCAATATAATAACAACTGATTATTGACCGAGCGTGAGGTCTGTACTGTGAAATATCAGATATGGCTGAACTGCATGAGACATGATAGTTGTCCAGATTCGAAATATACGGACCACCGTCCGATTATGAATTTCATGGACCGCTCGTCAACCAATAAGAATAGAGGATTTTGAAAAGCCATATGATAATGTGTAATACACAACCTGTTTCATAATGCTCTGGACAGTTTAGATAGCCATGCTCGATAGTTAAGTGCAAGTGTGAATAGAATAATCTAACTTCGGTTAAACTTATTTTAACGACAAAATGAATTGCATATGAAAGAAGCTTCTGGCGACCGTCTACGCAATCAAAACGCCCGTAAACTCTATTATGCAACTACTGTAATTGTAAATTCAATAAATAAACTAATTTAGAATTCAGTAAATGGACTTAGCTCTGGGAACCACCCCCTCTCGGCTCTACGTGAATTTGGACTTTTAAGCTTGCCCGATGAAAATTGTTCAAGTTACAAGCGAACAAATAAACAGGGCCCGCTGAGCGTGTCAGAGAGTGGGGCTAAGCCCTAAAAAGAACTCCCAGTAAAATTTCAGTTTGCTATAAGTAACTCTTTAACGCTAATTAAAGCTGACTTTTACTTCAATAATTTTAGCCACCAAAAAATGGTGGGGCACTAAATCCCAGACCCCAGTCTGCGCGAGCCATTATGATGATATGGCAAAATATAATCGCGAGTGTGTTAGGGCGGCGTTCAAGTCAGCCTTGCTCCATGAATGCAGTGGCGTAGCCAGCATAAGTGAAGTGGACATATTCATATATTCGTGTTTTATATTATTCATTTCTTTTCTGAAATTGAATGTTTTAGTGGTCTGTGAACAGGAATATATGAATATGTCCACCCCACTTATCGATGCTGGCGACGCCACTGCATGCATGGTAGCATGTAACAAACCTACAGGTTGTACCTGAATATTAGCTAAACTGCAGTCAGCAGCTGGCATGATTGAGGGTGCTGGTTTTCCTAAAATCTTCTTTAAAATATCAGAGACTCGTTATGGTTCTTCAATTTTAATTATCTATATAGAGATTATAATATTAAAATGTCATATACTAAACCAGTAAATGTCATCACAAAATGCAGTAGACTATCGCCTGTATTCAAAAAGCTCACACTCATTGAGTGGGACATATGAATTTTGTTAATGCTGATCAGTGGAAAGTTTTTTTCTGAATGATGGAAACATATAAGATTAATCATTGAAAATCAAGCCCCTGTTCGGCTGGAAATACCGCCATTGAAACGTTATGAGAAGATTAAGATCTCCCACTCAATGAGTTTGAGTGTGAGTGAGCTTTTAGAATACAGCCGTATGAATGTATTTCATTAGGTATATCAGTAGACTATGCTGTTATACATTAAATTGGAACAAGTTTACGTGAAGTTTGACTCACAAACTCTATACGGTTATGAACAGTTTATATTTTCAGGCTACCTAAGTCCGTGATTGTGCAGATTCGCCCTAAACAACCCACACGAATACACACACACACGAATGTTTTGCGCCGTTGATAAACAAGAATTGTTGGAGAATGGTAATCAACATTCAAGCTTTGCAGTTATTTTTTCGAACATCTTGCCGTTGAAAAGTGAGCCACTAACTGTCTTGCATTTTCATTAGAAAGGTAAGATAGCAAATAAATCCAAGGATGGTTCAAATTTTGCATAGATTGTAAACAGAAATCTAGATTTTTACGCTTGGAGTGTGAAGTTGAATTGAGCACTCAATTATGGTAAACACACAATCTTTAAAATATTCCTTGAATCAATAAACACCGAGAAATTACATCGCATGGAATCTCCCTGCTATCCTCATTATAGTTCGTCTCCGTACCAAGCCCTTCGCATTCTCCCGTAATAACGTCGCACGTAGTACTGAGAAAGGCCTGGGCACGAGGATTAACCGACTAGGCATACATTAGGAGCCGATTAAAATTGTCCCCCAGCGCTTCCTCGGCATAAGGTCTGTTATCAATCTTTAGATTAATCAGCCACGACACATATTTTCGAGCTCTGCGATCACCAAGTTTCTTCAAATTGACAGAGTTTCCTTTCAAAATATTTTTCATTCGATCTAACTTTGATCCAAAAGGGTGTTCACCTCTGGTTAAGATGAAGAAGGCAATCATACCTGCGACGTGGACATCCGATTTCTTTTTGAACGGACCTTTTTCGTCTTTGTCTATTGCCTTAATTACTTCCGGTGGCATCCATCCAGGAGTACCTTTGGCAAATGTTTCAACTGTCGTTTCATCGTCATTAAGAACGCGGCTTATCCCAAAGTCTGCCAATTTCATGCGACCTTTGATATCAACCAGGACGTTTGATGGTTTTAGATCTCTGTGTAATATTCCTTTGCCGTGAAGAAATTGAAGTCCTGATAGAATTTCCCTAATCATTCGTGGACCATGCTCTTGTAGATGTTCAATACTGCAAGCATGAACAAGTTCCCTCAAGGTTTCTTCGCAAAGATCAACAATAAGATACATGAATATGTCGTCCCGGTGAAAATGTCGATAGCTCACTATAAACGGAGATTTGTCAGTTTCAATAAGACTCATGATTTCCTTTTCGTTTTCGACTGTTGTATCTTCACTTTGTACTAAAATTCTCTTAACAGCAACTTCACTCCCATCTTTCATGAGACCAACATAGACACAAGAAAAACCACCACCGCCAATTTGGAATTGATTGTTTGCGACAAAAGCCTGCATGGGTATTTCAATCTATGGACGGAACAAAGAATTTTAAGCCTTCTGATAAATGGAGGCTAGATTCAATAAAAACTTGCTAGTAAATATCTAAATCTGAAATCAACACAATATTTAGCTGCAGAATATTTTAGCACATGCAGATACATGATTCAAATACTATACATTGTATTATTTTCTCTTATTCTTATTCTTATTGGGTGAAATACTCTGTTTGTGTCTGGCAGTGATGCAGGCAAATTAATTCTCGTGTATAGCTAGCGGCATGTGCATATCACAAATAAGTATCACATCTGTAGGTGCCCGTGTATTTTTACCGGTAATTCACGTGAATTTCAAAAAGGCAGGGAAAGTTGTTTTCTTTAAATGGCATCTGCTCAACCTCGTACCCAGGACCTTCTCGTAGGGGAGGGAGAAGCCTCTGGAAAAGGCTGCCCACGTGACTGCTATCCGAATACTGCAAAAAATGTTGAGTCACGTGGGCAGCCTTTTGCAGGGCCTTCTCCTCCCCCCCGCGAAAAGGCCTTGGGTACGAGGTTGGCATCTGCTCGTTTCGTTTCGAATTCTTTTCTAGTGAAGAAAATAGAAAGAACAGTGGAAGATAAAGTTGATATTGAATTTGGCTAATCGTAGGATAATTTTGATATCCTGCTCGGCATCATGAAATAATTCTTGAATAATTTTATTCAATATAGGTAATGAACTCATAAGAGTAAGTTTACTCTCGTAGTGTATAGTTATACACCAAGTTGTTGTCCATATTGCTGCATACATATTTCCTAAGAACACAAAATCCCTGTGTAAATAAACACATTATCAGTGTTCATATTGTTGCGGAAATTTACACTGATTTTGGTGTTCTGGTGACACCCCGAGATTTACAGTGTAACTGTATGTGAGTTATTCGGAATTTCAGGCAAGTATGTCACGCTAACGTAGCCAACGGAGCCTGAAAGACGAAGCGAGTTGCGTACAGTCTCGTTGCGGGTTAAATTATGGCACTGCATGTCTAAAGAATCTACATAACAGAAATTCAGGACATTAATTACCATAAAAGTTCATAATGCCAGGATTTCGCAATCAAAGATGGCTGTCTTGTTATTATAGAATTATATAAGGCAGGAGACAATATTTGAAATTAAAGCAACTTCTGTCTTACATATTGCAGTTGCGGAGCTTGATTTAAGAAGGGAAGAAACTCAGTACTGTTATGACATTTTTTTTTATTTTTATATTACCTTTAACAGGTTCTCCAGTAATGTTATTTCCGCAATTAATTTAGTTGCTGCTGCAATATGTAAGACAGAAGTTGCTTTAATTTTATTTATATAATTCTATAATAACAAGGCAGCCATCTTTGATTGCGAAATCCTGGCATTATGAACTTTTATGGTAATTATTGTCCCCAATTTCTGGTTATGAAAAGCGCATAGTCGAGCTGACGCGATGAAGATGGTAAACTTCCTATATACACAAAAGTCAATTGCTACATAAACTCATTTAAATGTTTTCAACTATTACCTTGTCTAACTTATTGCAATTCGTTGTTTTCAAAATCTGAATTTTCTCACGATGTTTTACGGAGCGCCCGAGGATAGTTGCAATCTCATCATGACCAAAGTGAACACTCCATTGATAAAGACTCATTTGTCCGCCTTCAACAGAAAGTGTTGGAGCTTTGCACATAGTAACGTTCTTTTCCAGCAAAAGGTTGACCAAAACAGCTGAATTGTGCACAACAGCCATCTCCAGAATATCAGTACCAAGTGTATGAGCGTTAACTTTACTTTCAAGTGTTATGTCAGCACCTTGTTCAACTAAATACTCGACCTTTTTTAATGCACCCATATCAACAGCAGTATGCAAGACTGTCGATCCATCAGCACCTTTGCAATTTACATCAGCGCCGTTTTCAACTAGATATTTCACCATTTAGCGTACTTCTTGTAACAGCATGTGCAGCACTGTCCTCAAGTGAATATCCTTCCCATTAACATCAGCGCCGATTGCAACAAGATACTTTACAATTTCTAGCGCATCTTTGGCCATGGTAGAAGCATAGTGCAGAACTGTCTTCCCGATAAAATCCTTTCCATTTACGTTAGCACCTTGTTTAACTAAATACTTGACCTTTTTTAATGCACCCATATCAACAGCAGTATGCAAGACTGTCGATCCATCAGCACCTTTGCAATTTACATCAGCGCCGTTTTCAACTAGATATTTCACCATTTCTAGCGTACTTCTTGTAACAGCATTGTGCAGCACTGTCCTCAAGTGAATATCCTTCCCATTAACATGCGCCGATTGCAACAAGATACTTTACAATTTCTAGCGCATCTTTGGTAGCGCATAGTGCAGAACTGTCTTCCCGATAAAATCCTTTCCATTTACGTCAGCACCTTGTTCAACTAAATACTTGGCATTGTTGTAATGCACCCTATCAACAGCAGCATGCAAGACTGTCGATTCATCAGCACCTTTGCAATTTACATCAGCGCCGTTTTCAACTAGATATTTCACCATTTCTAGCGTACTTCTTGTAACAGCATTGTGCAGCACTGTCCTCAAGTGAATATCCTTCCCATTAACATCAGCGCCGATTGCAACAAGATACTTTACAATTTCTAGCGCATCTTTGGTAGCAGCATAGTGCAGAACTGTCTTCCCGATAAAATCCTTTCCATTTACGTCAGCACCTTGTTCAACTAAATACTTGGCATTTTGTAATGCACCCGTATCAACAGCAGCATGCAAGACTGTCGATTCATCAGCACCTTTGCAATTTACATCAGCGCCGTTTTCAACTAGATATTTCACCATTTCTAGCGTACTTCTTGTAACAGCATTGTGCAGCACTGTCCTCAAGTGAATATCCTTCCCATTAACATCAGCGCCGATTGCAACAAGATACTTTACAATTTCTAGCGCATCTTTGGTAGCAGCATAGTGCAGAACTGTCTTCCCGATAAAATCCTTTCCATTTACGTCAGCACCTTGTTCAACTAAATACTTGACCTTTTTAAATGCACCCATATCAACAGCAGTATGCAAGACTGTCGATTCATCAGCACCTTTGCAATTTACATCAGCGCCGTTTTCAACTAGATATTTCACCATTTCTAGCGTACTTCTTGTAACAGCATTGTGCAGCCCTGTCCTCAAGTGAATATCCTTTCTATTTACGTCTGCACCGTTTTCAACAAGATATTTTACAATTTCCAGCGCATCTTTGGTAGCAGCATAGTGCAGAACTGTCTTCCCGATAAAATCCTTTCCATTTACATCAGCGCCGTTTTCAACAAGATACTTCACAATTTCTAGCGCGTCTTCATAAACAACAACGTGCAGAACTGTCCTTCCGAAATTATCCTTTTCATTTACATCAGCGCCGATTTCAACAAGATATTTGACCATTTCTAGTTTACCTTCAGTTACAGCACTGCGCAGCACTGTCCACCCGTTAGTATCCTTTCCATTTACATCAGCGCCGTTTTCAGCAAGACACTTTATAATTTCTAGCGCATCTTTATAAACAGCAGCGTCCAAAACTGTGCATCCGTCAGTATCCTTTGCATTTACATCAGCGCCGATTTCAACAAGACATTTCACCATTTCTAGTTTACCTTCGGTAACAGCAACGTGCAGCACTGTCCACTCGTGAATACCCTTCTCATTTACATCAGCGCCCTTTTCAACAAGATATTTTACCATTTTTAGTGTACCTTCACTAACAGCACTGCGCAGTACAGTCCACCCGTGAGTATTCTTTCCTTTTACATTAGCGCCATTTTGAACAAGATATTTTACCATTTCTAGCGTACCTTTGGTGAAAGCATAGTGCAGCGGAGTAGATCCGTCAGTATTCATGATACTCACATCAGCACCCTTTTCAACAAGATATTTCACCATTTCTAGTGTACCTTCACAAACTGCATAGTGCAAGACCGTCCATCCATCCATGCACTTGCAATTTACATCAGCGCCTTTTTCAACAAGACTTTTTACCATTTCAAGCGTACCTTCAGTAACCGCAAAGTGCAGCGCAGTCCACCCGTTATTCTTCTTTCCATTTACATCAGCGCCAATTTCAACAAGATATTTCAACATTTCCAGCGTACCTTTACTAATCGCGGCGTGCAACACTGTCGTCCCTTCAGTATCCCCTCCATTTACATCAGCGCCCTTTTCCACAACATATTTCACTATTTCTAGCGAATCTTTAGTAACAGCATTGTGCAGGATTGTCCATTCCTCGTCATCTTTTGCGTTTACATCAGCGCCACATTGTTCAACTAAATATTTGACAATGTCTATTTCGGCAACAATAACAGCATGATGTAAAACGGTTTTTCCTGACTTATCCTTACAATTTACAAGATCACCACAAAACTTAGCTCGATTTTTCGCCATTTTTGACTCTAATGTACTTGGAAGATCTTTGTTATCGTCTAGGAAATTATGTTTATGGCTAACTCGAACAAAATACTTAACAAGATCGAGTAAACCATTCCTCGTCGCCATCATCAGAAATGTCTCACCATCTTCGTTCTGGGAATAAATGTCTGCTCCATGGTCAACTAAATATTCAACAATTTTTTGATCTACTGGACTAAACTGAAAAGCACGCCAAAGAATTGTCTTCTTCCAACGATTTTCTTTGTTTTCACCACATTCAACTTGCTTTTTTATTTCATCCCAAAAGTTTTGTTTTCCCGCTTCTTCGCAGACATTTATGCTTCCACTTGCCTCTTGCTCCTTCTCAATACCTATATAATTATGCAACATTCAGATGCAATTTACAGAGAGATGCAATTTACAAAATAAGATGAAAAATAAACAACCGGGCCGTACGAACGAAATTTCATTCCGGGTGAGACCTCTGCAACAATTTTATGTGGTCAAAACAGGCGCGCATAACGCAGGCATGATTGAGTTCTGGAAGAGGTGAAGTTATATAATCGTCGGGAGAAAACGGCTGTAAACTGTTACATTTCTGTTACTTTAATAAAAATAGCTATCTATAGCTTTGTTTCCCAAACAAAACCTAAATGCGTACACGTCAGGGATTTGCGGGGTGGAGCCATACACCTCCAAGGAGGCACGCCCTAGCTTGTCTTAAATTTTAAAAGTACAGGATAAATGAATATTTTCATCACATAGGGAGCTTTGGCAAAGTATGCTAAATATAGTTTTTCCTTGAGCACGAGCAACATTTTATCCGGTGATAGAAAAGTTCAAAATGTGTCAACGGCTATAGGGTAGAAATACTTGATTAAGTTCAATTATTGAATAAGCTGAATGATATTTATTAATTTATTCATTTATTTAGTATCGCTTTTGCCTTAAAACAGCGAATGCTGAGCGCAATTGCCTAGGCTAATTCCTGCCGGACCATCAGAGTCAGGGCCGTAGCCAGAAGCTTAATTATGGGGATACATATGAATATTAAAAAATTAATCGCTCTAGCTACGGCCCTGATCAAAATGTACGAGTTAGTAGAGGATAGGATCTTTACTTCAATCATAGGAAACTTGTTTTAATTCTCACCGCCATCACATTGTTCGTTTTGAATGCCTTTTTCTTGGAGTTCATCTTCAACTTCTTTCTGTTTATTAACAGACTGGGATTGTTTATTTTCAGACGAAGCGATATTATTGTTTTCCGTAAAGCTTGAAGTTACGTCGCTGACCTCAGCCTGGGACATCATAACATTATCATCTTCCATAAGTTCAGTCATTCTTATATTTTTTTTTGCAATCTTCTTTGGTGCTTATAACAAAGTCATATCATCTTGCCTGACCGACATCTTCGAAAAAGCGCGATGGGAACCTAAAAACCAAGTTACTAATTATTGTTAGCTCCAAATGTTTAAAACTGTGGAAAAATCACTATCCGGCGGAAGCACTATCTAATTTTCGTCAAATCGGCCCTGGAAGGATAACAGCTATCTTTGGAGCCAATTTTTAGCCGAATTTAGACCATTGACCAGTCACTTTTCTTTGTTTACGTCGGCACGATTGTCCACGGTGAAGACAAAAGCAGACGACATAGCAGCCGAGTATAGTCGTTCCAGTTTAACTGTTTGAGTAAAGTTCACTGCTTTATTTAATGTACTGGCATAACAGATCAGTGTACACGACCCAATTTTTTTTAACGTTAATCTAGGCCAACTATATGTCTCGGTTGTATATCGCGTATCGATGATCGAAAAACAAACGAAGGAAGAATGCTTTACATGCACTTCTTAATTCAAAATGCTGTTTGCTAACTTGCTACCCTTAATGCCAAATTATTAAGGATGATGTGGAGTCCGTTCTACGAATATCTTCCGTTCAAAACAAATTAAGCAACATTTCAAAAGTGGTCCTTAACGGGAAGTTTAATTAAAATGAAATCACTTAAGCTAGACAAAGCTTCTTTTTGTATCCAACTGTCATGACGCGAGCCCTGAAACATTGGCAAGTTTTTTTATGAAACGAAAATATGTCTAAAACAGACTTTACAAAATTCTAAGCAACACAACAGCTATGGGGTTTAGACCAGTCACGATAGAAAGGGTCAACTGTACGATCAGAGTGTATATTTTTTATAATTTTATATTCATGTTCATAAACCGTATAAACAATCGACTTTAAAGGGAATCAGTCGGGCAAAGAAGACGGATGTATGAATACGCACCCTCGATTTTGCCACCTTGTTATTGACTATTCTAGGGCTATTCTAGGTATAGTTTGGGTCTCTACGGTTAATTAACACTGCTACACACAATATGCCTCACACAAGTATGCTACTCGATAATCGCATGATTATTAGTTGCGTCTTAGTTCTGTCGTACTGGACAAATTAGTGACTAAGCAGGATTATTCATTAACTTTCTACCTTAAATAGTTGATATTCAACGATGACGACCGGCATCCAAAATAATGATTATAAGTTTCGTCTCAGTTCTGTAGTACTGAACGAATTACTGACTAAGCAGGGTTCTTCATTAACTTCCTACCTTAAATACTTGATATCCAACGATGATGACACGGAATCCAAAATAAACAAATATAAGTTGGATAAAAATGTTATTAGTCTTTTCCTCAGACTAATCTTCGATCACGAAATCAAATATCGTCAATAATATTATTAGTTATCCAATATTATTAGTTATAACCATCCAGTCACTTTGTTGTATGAACTTGTATCATAGTTAATATGGTTGTATGGTGTACGTTCTGTCGATGAGGTAATCCCACCGGAAGTAGGATTGCCGCGAATAGTAAACGAAACTAGTTCTCAGGCTTTAGTAGGATAAAAACCGTCGAAAGTATACAATAATTGGCACGGCCGTATTTTGTGCATTTTAAAACATTTTACTACTAAACTTTGCCATCTTACTAATTCTAGTGTGAATTTACTAGCTGTCTTGATTTATTTCCGTCTTCTTGCCTGGATACAAAGTTAGACTAACTAACATGCAATGATGCTGCTTGCATGAAATTTAAATTATTTACATCGAAATATTTCAGCTTAGTTGTTCAAGGAATAACAGATTTTGCTTTCCATTTTGAACTTATCCGCCGTTTAAGCTTTCGAACAACCGGCCCCTAGTCCTTTACAGCATTTGAATGTCATTTAAAGAAATGAGAGAAACAATAAAGTGATCGGTATTTCAATACCGCTGAAAGAACTACAATAGTGCTGATTGAAAATCAATTGTAGTAGTGCGAAAGTTCAACAACAACGCCTTATTATATATTCCGTAAAGTGAATATCAATAAAACGAAACGCAGAACAATTGCGTTAACTTATTGATTATTAACATTTTCGGAATAACAATAGCAATAAGTCAAACGACATTTAGCATAGAGAAATACTCATTTACACAAAGTTCTCTCATCTGCGTTCTAATATGTATACATGTACATAAATTACAAACAAAAGATAGCTGTAAAGGTACAGATGAGAAGACGTTGTTGACTTCAAAACGTTGAATTTCAAAAACAAATTCTGATAGCAGCTGCTGAACGGAATGTGCACTGCCTAACCAGGGCGCTGTAAAACACCCTGGTTAGATTATGGAAACACTGGAAACACCAGGGCGATTCTACAGCGCCCTGGCCTAACCATTGCGAAATGTACACAGCATGGGGTAGACTTATGAATGCAGACCTACTTGAAAGAGAACACATCTAGGGATAAAACATACTGCACATATATTGCTGTTGTGTGAACAGACAAATATGATAGAATGGGAATTCTAATATTTACTTTGTACACCTTTACATTAATGAATATTTCTCTATGCTAAATGTCGTTTGATTTATTGCTATTGTTGTTGCGAAAATGTTAATGATCAATAAGTTAACGCAATTGTTCTTCGTTTCGTTCTATTGATTTTCACTTTACGGAATATATAATAAGGCGTTGTTGTTGAACTTCCGCACTAATGCAATTGATGTTAAATCAGCGTTATTGTAGTTCTTTCAGCGCTATTGATCATTTTAATGTACTTCTTTTTTCTTTAAATGACATTCAAATGCTGTACATACACTGGAATTATATAGACGACCGCGTTCAGCGATAACTTTACACTGGAATTATATAGACGATCGCGTTCAGCGCGCGTATAATTTTAAGCCAATCTTTTACAACTGGATGGATAACTGGTGATAAACATGTTGGAAAACAGGTGACTTTTCTTTCTAATGGCTGGAAATCAAACAACGTTTCGAGCGAATTTCTTTCTATCATAACCAAGAAGAATTCTCTGCAGCTATTTTTAACTCTCAATAAAAGTGTACCTCTTTGCTTTTTAAGATCTTTAATCTACCTCTTTCAGTAAACTGGTGGAACATAGTTAATAATTAACACTTAATTACTGCGAACGAAGGAAACATTATGTTTTGTGGACCCGAGACCTGTCAATATTTCACGAGGCGAAGCCGAGTGTAATATCGATGGTCGAGGGTCCACAAAACATAATGTTTCCTGAGTTATCGGTAAATAAGTTTTTTATTATATACCATTTGTCAAAGAAAAACCAAACTACAAGGTAAACAACGAAATATCTATAATGATAAAAGACCTAATTTCATATAGATAAACAGTCTAAAGGTCGCAGGATTAAAGTTATTTCCCATGAGATAACACGTTATCTCACTCTGCAGGGGGTCGCGCTGGCGACATCAAAATTTCGTCACCCTCGCGTGATTCGCTCTCGATCAATGAAATGCTACGAACACCAAACTTTGACAAGTGGTATATAATAATATAAAAGGTCGTTTGTTATTTTTTTCAGCGCTTCGACCGAAGATACGACTTGTCGAAGGTCGCTCATACTGCATGCGTCCATACCTGGTAAAACAGTTGCATTCAGGAACTTATTGAGATCAGCGGCTGGGGGAGGCAGCGGTGCTGGTTTTGAAAAACTTTTGTCGCCATGGTTATAATTTTGTTTTATCATTTATGGTTCTTAATTTTAATGATCAAAATTACAGATTACGATAGTTATAAAAGTTGTAAACGTCATGTGACAAAGGACAGAACGTGTATCTATTATACTATACTGATATGCATACAAAAAGAACAAGTTTATTTTGTGTTTTTCTACTGTCATGAACAGTTTATATTTTTCAAACTAAGTCAATAAAATCATATGGGATGAATTGTAAATAACATCTTGGTAGGTGCAAACAGTCGCCAAAAACAATTCAACCGTGGTCGGTAGCCCGTTGTCACTATCATTAAGCTCTCTATTAGAATAAACGTTGGATCGCGAGGCTAAAAGAGATAATTTGAAACAAATCAATTCTAGGTCATTTATGGGAAATGTTGTATAACAAATCATTAGCTTCTAAAAAAACAATACCTTCTACAATTTATTGGCAACAAAAAGTATAGTAACCATGAATTTTAACTGTAGCAGCAAAATTTCTTGGCGGAAAAGTACCATCCACTTGGGCTGTAATAGTCTTAGAGTTGCTGTTTATTGGAAAAACCATATTTTCTGAATTGACTGATACGGCATTTTGAGGGTATGTGTAGTACATTAATTGCCTTTCGTTCTCAATAATACCACTTGCGCCCTTTAGATAGACGTTTATGAAACTTTCTGACCCTGTCGTTGGTGTGTGACCAGAATAAACTTTCGCAAAAACCACGATGTCAACTGCATCACTGGGAACTCCGGCATCAGCTAGAGAGATCACAACTCCTGTTGGGGTGACATCGTGATTCATACTAGAAAGCTTGTGGAACTAGCTAGCAATAAACAATTAAAAATTCTGGTGAGGAATAAATTTTTATCATCACCAATGGCGTAACTAGAACGATGATTGCTTTCACGTAGCTAATGTGGTCCCTAGAGTTTCTTGAAATTTGTTAGATGCACAATTTAAACAGAGATATTATAAGCATCTAAATGTTTTACTGCATGGAAGACTTTCGCAAACTTGGTAGCCTGTTCTCTTTGTCACCATTACATTTGTTTGTACATTTAGATATTTAAAAATAGGCGAGGTGTTTACAAGCCTATATTTACTAAGCCGAAGGCAAAGTAAATATAGGCTTGTAATCACCAAGCCTGAGGCGGCTAATTTTTTAGTATAAATTTCCAGGTATTTACAAATACGAATCAACACAATTTGATTAAAAAAATTTAAATTCCTACTTCAAATTTCGTATTTGAAAAAAGGATAAAAAAGCTATTTTTACTGGCCAGTGACTGTCACTTCAGAGTCAGTGAATTTTGACCAATCAGAATGCAGGAAAACTGGAAAACCAATAGTCACCTTGAAATTTATACTAAGAGGATATATTGTGACGCGTGCTGTTTCTATGAAAAGTTACAGAATATATTAAGTGAAAAACAATTATCTTTTCTGCGTCTGCAAATGTGCCCTTTCCTAAAACCTGCCACTCTCGCCATGAACTGCTTTAGACGCCACTAACAAGTTAACTCAGGCAATTATTTGCAAGTGGTTTAACTAATAAACATGCAATATCTACCGTTTTATGACAATCCAGTTGAACTTTGAAGTTTTCGCTTTTTATTATTTAAATCAATTGTAGCAAACATATTTTAATTTTTTAATACATTAACTTTGCCAAATGAGTAAAATAATTTTGCATGCGTTACGACTATACACAAAAAATGACAAGGCTGTATTTTCTGCATTTCACAACATTTTGTAAACCAAACTTTGCAATTTTACTAATTCCAGTATGCTCTTACTAGCTGTGGTGACGATCATGGTGATTGCTAATGGCCCATTTACACTACGCGATTTGTCGTATATGATTCGTACCCTGGCGTATGTCAACGTACGAACACACGTACCAGCGTGACACTTTAAATTCCCACCTGAACTAAATTGAATGAAGATTAGTTCTTGCATTTGTCAGAATGATAATTGCATACAACTTATCGTGTAGTGTAAATAGGCCTTATCATGTACTCAAATACCTCACTCTTGTATAACAATTACTTATTTTACAAGAAAACTTCGATTATAGTTTCATGTTGTCTTTAGGATCTGGGAGAGTACAAAAGAGAATTAACGCTAAATTGCTTCGAAAATTCTTGGAAATCTGAAAGGGAAATATGAAACAACTGGGTGATGTTTACGATGGATTGGCTTCTATGAAGGTAATGCACCTCAGAATCTTAACTATCACACTCTTTAGAATGCGATAAATGCTTGATATCGTGCAGTCTCTCCAGTATAAAAAATAGTGACTGATAAAGCGAGCGCGTCAAGTCTGAAGGACTGAACTATGACGAACACAACCGGAATGATCACTGGTAATAAACATGTTTACAATCAGGTGACTTCTCTTCCTAATGACAAACAATCAAAAGTCTCTTAGGGTATTCGCTTGAGGCGATTTTCGTGTACAGCAATTCAATCTTCTTTGCGGAAAGTGCTTTTTAAGCCATCTTACATCATCACATCGACAGATAAAGAAATAGAAAAATATGAGTGGGTGAGGCGCCGTTCGAACTAGCTTAGTACTATATATAGAGATAAGGCGCTTAGAACGGGCGCTTCCTTTGAATTTCTAATGTCGACTAGACCATGTCATGAAAAAGTTTAGGTCAGGTTTAACGGACAATCTCCTGAAGATTTTAAACATGTTTTTAAAGATTAAAAATGCATAACAACATATTAAGACAAGTATGTTTCTTTGTTTGGATGAAGTTTAACGCATAAACGGTATATTTTTGAAGGTAAGACTGCGCTTGTGTTTAGCAGCTTATCACTAAACAACCTATAATAGTTCGTTCAGGCCTAGATAATGAGACGATACACCTCACTAAGCTCATCACCATATCATTATCTATTGTTCGAATTGCACTATTCGACGCCAGTGGCGAAGGAACCTGGAGGACACAGGGGGCATGTACCCCTCCCCCCCCCAAAAAAAAAAATTTCAAGGGACGAAAGGTGCCCTATTTGTGATGAAAATTTTTTCGGCGAAGCTAATGTAGCTGCAAATGCTATTTAAAATCCTACACATGCCCAAATCGTTTTTAGAGCATAAATATAAACCACACTAGCGGTGTCCTTGCAGCTTTGGCAATCAAACCGTCCTAATACATATTTTCAGCTGCCTTTTTTATTAAACAAAATTTGCCCCTGGAAGCTGATGCCCCCTCCCCCTAATCTCTTGATGCTTCTACGCCCCTGTTCGACGCGACCAAATGCGACGTTTAACCTAGGCCTTAAAGTTGGTTCAGGGGCCTTCAATGGAGGGTGGGGTTAGCAGGCCCGTAAAAAATATGCGCGAATATATGAACATTAGTTGTAGTTGCATTATGTCTTGAAGGTTCAATTAGCCAAAATATGGATTTTGCATGGATTTGAAACGAGATTTTTCCAGTGTGATTCAAAATCAGGAATATTCTGTCAAAACAACCCACATAAAAAAAATGTTGGAAATTTAAGATCATGTAAAGTCAGGAAAAATCTATATCAGAAAACGATATTGCAACAAATTACAGCAAAACATTTAATGTTCGTTCCTAAATGTGTCTGTCTGGCTCTACGTGTATTTGGACTTTTAAGTTTGCCCGATGAAAATTGTTTAAGTTACAAGCGAACAAATAAACAGGGCCCGCGGAGCGTGTCAGAGAGTGGGGCTAAGTCCTAAATAGAAACCCCAGTAAAATTTCAATTTGCTATAAGTAACTCTTTAACCGACGTTAATTAAAGCTGACTTTTACTTCAATAATTTTGGCCGCCAAAAAATGTCGGGGGACTAAAGCCCAGACCCCTGTCTGCGCGAGCCATTAAATGATATGGCAAAATATAATCGGGCGGCGTTCAAGTCAGCCTTGCTCCATGAATGCAGTGGCGTACTCAGCATGATAAGTGGGGTGGACATATTCATTTATTCGTGTTTTACATTATTCACTTCTTTTCTGGAATTGAATGTTTTTGCGGTCTGTGAACATGAATATATGAATATGTCCACCACACTAATCGATGCTGCCGACGCCACTACATGCATGGTAGCATGTAACAAACCTACAGGTTGTACTCAAATACTAAACTGAAGTCTGCAGCTGGCATGATTGAGGGTGCTGGTTTTCCAAAAATCTTCTTTAAAATATTGGAGACTCGTTATTGTTCTTCAATTTTAATGATCTATATAGAGATTACAATATTAAAATGTCATAATAAACCAGTAAATGTTATCACAAAGTTCAGTAGACTATGAATGTATATCATTTGGTCTATCAGTAGACTATGCTGTTATACATACAAATGGAACAAGTTTTCGTGAAGTTTGACTCACAAACTCTCTATATATATTTTCAGGCTAACTAAGTCCGTGGTTGTGCAGATTCGCCCTAAACAACTAACACAAACACAAACACACACACAGGATTGTTTTGCGCCGTTAATTAACAAGAATTGTTGAAGAATGGTAATCAACTGTCCTGCATTTTCATTAGAAAGGTAAATTAGCAAATAAATTCAAATGTGGTTTTTAGGCGTGGAGTGTAAAGTTGACTTGAGCACGCAATTACGGTAAACACACAATCTTTAAAATGTTCCTTGAATCGATAAACACCGAGAAATTACATCGCATGGAATTTCCCTGCCATCCTCATTATAGTTCGTCCCCGTGCCAAGCCCTTCACATTCTCCCGTAATAACGTTGCACGTAATACTGAGAAAGGCCTGGGAACGAAGATGAACCGACTAGGCCTACACTAGGAACCGATTAAAACTGGACAAACTATTTCCAAAAATTGGACTTCGTTCATATTCAGACGAGCAGTTCACCAACGTTTATATACAATGATTATCAGGTTAACCAACTTTTCTTTGTACAAGTTTGTCCACTTGGCTAGATGATCCTCTATTAATTGTATAAATGGAGCTAAATTACAGCACACATGAAAAAGACGCATACAAAAGTAAATATAATTATTTTGATTTATCCAGTTCAACAACAAAAGAATACCATGTTGTGAAATTCAGGAATATGAAATGCCAAGTCAAGATAATTGTTTTTCTTTACGAACTCCGCGTTGATAATGTATAGTGAAGACATTGCGATAATTTCGAATAACGTTGGCTTCATCTTCGTAGAAAAATTCTGTGTTTTGACTGTATCAATATTCATTAATGAAAGAGTCCCCCAGCGCTTCCTCGGCATAAGGTCTATTGTCAATCTTGTGATTAATCAGCCACGCCACAAATTTTCGAGCTCTGCGATCACTAAGTTTCTTCAAATTCACAGAGCTTCCTTTCAAAATATTTTTCATTCGATCTAACTTGGATCCAAAAGGGTGTTCACCTTTTGTTAAGATGAAGAAGGCAATCATACCTGCGACGTGCATATCCGATTTCTTTTTGAACGGACCTTTTTCGTCTTTGTCTATTGCCTTAATTACTTCCGGTGGCATCCATCCAGGAGTACCTTTGGCAAATGTTTCAACTGTCGTTTCATCGTCATTTAGAACGCGGCTTATTCCAAAGTCTGCCAATTTCATGCGACCTTCGATATCAACCAGGACATTTGATGGTTTTAGATCTCTGTGTAATATTCCTTTGCCGTGAAGAAATTGAAGTCCTGATAGAATTTCCCTAATCATTCGTGGACCACGCTCTTGTAGATGTTCATTACTAGATGCATGAACAAGTTCCCTCAACGTTTCTTCGCAAAGATCAATAATAAGATACATGAATATGTCGTCCCGGTGAAAATATCGATAGCTCACTATAAACGGAGATTTGTCAGTTTCAATAAGACTCATGATTTCCTTTTCGTTTTCGACTGTTTTATCTTCACTTTGTACTAAAATTCTCTTAACAGCAACTTCACTCCCATCTTTCATGAGACCAACATAGACACAAGAAAAACCACCACCGCCAATTTGGAATTGATTGTTTGCGACAAAAGCCTGCATCGGTATTTCAATCTATGGACGGAACGAAGAATTTTAAGCCTTCTGGGGCCGGTTGTATCAAGCCAGTTAAGCTTAAACGGTGGATAAGTCAAAATTAAATAACACTCTTACATCTCTCTTGAATAAGTCAACTTGAATATTATGCATTGAATATGCATGTAGTTGTAAACAGTATCTTTGTATTAAGGTCAAAAACTTTTAGTTTGCTTGTTGCATAAAACGACAGACTTGCTTTCTATTTTGAACTTATCCACCGTTTAAACTAAACGGGCTTGATACAACCGGCCCCTGATAAATAGAGCCTAGATTCAATAAAAACTTGCTAGTAAATATCTAAATCTGAAATCAACACAATATTTAGCTGCAGAATATTTTAGCACATGCAGATACATGATTCAAATACTATACATTGTAAAAACTATTATTTTCTCTTATTCTTATTCTTTTTGGGTGAATGACTCTGTTTGTGTCTGGCAGTGATGCAGGCAAATTAATTCTCGTGTATAGCTAACGGCATGTGCATATGACAAATAAGTATCACATCTGTAGGTGCCCGTGTATTTTTACCGGTAATTCGCGTGAATTTCAAAAAGGCAAGGAAAGTTGTTTTCTTTAAATGGCATCTGCTCAACCTCGTACCCAGGACCTTCTCGTAGGGGAGGGAGAAGCCTCTGGAAAAGGCTGCCCACGTGACTAGTATCCGAATACTGCAAAAAATGTTGAGTCACGTGGGCAGCCTTTTCCAGGGCCTTCTCCTCCCCCCTGCAAAAAGGCCTTGGGTACGAGGTTGGCATCTGCTCGTTTCGTTTCGAATTCTTTTCTAGTGAAGAAAATAGAAAGAACAGTGGAAGATAAAGTTGATATTGAATTTGGCTAATCGCAGGATAATTTTGATATCCTGCTCGGCATCATGAAATAATTCTTGAATAATTTTATTCAATATAGGTAATGAACTCATAAGAGTAAGTTTACTCTCGTAGTGTATATTTATACACCAAGTTGGTGTCCATATTGCTGCATACATATTTCCTTAGAACACAAAATCCGTGTGTGAATAAACACAATATCAGTGTTCATATTGTTGCGGAAATTTACGCTGATTTTGGTGTTCTGGTGACACCCCGAGATTTACAGTGTAACTGTATGTGAGTTATTCGGAATTTCAGGCAAGTATGTCACGCTAACGTAGCCAACGGAGCCTGAAAGACGAAGCGAGTTGCGTACAGTCTCGTTGCGGGTTAAATTATGGCACTGCATGCATGTCTAAAGAATCTACATAACAGAAATTCAGGACATTAATTACCATAAAAGTTCATAATGCCAGGATTTCGCAATCAAAGATGGCTGTCTTGTTATTATAGAATCATATAAGGCAGGAGACAATATTTGAAATTAAAGCAACTTCTGTCTTACATATTGCAGTTGCGGAGCTTGATTTAAGAAGGGATGAAACTCAGTACTGTTATGACATTTTTTTATATTTTTATATTACCTTTAACAGGTTCTCCAGTAATGTCATTTCCGCAATTAATTTAGTTGCTGCTGCAATATGTAAGACAGAAGTTGCTTTAATTTCATTTATATAATTCTATAATAACAAGGCAGCCATCTTTGATTGCGAAATCCTGGCATTATGAACTTTTATGGTAATTATTGTCCCCAATTTCTGGTTATGAAAAGCGCATAGTCGAGCTGACACGATGAAGATGGTAAACTTCCTATATACACAAAAGTCAATTGCTACATAAACTCATTTAAATGTTTTCAACTATTACCTTGTCTAACTTATTGCAATTCGTTGTTTTCAAAATCTGAATTTTCTCACGATGTTTTACGGAGCGCCCGAGGATAGTTGCAATCTCATCATGACCAAAGTGAACACTCCATTGATAAAGACTCATTTGTCTTCCTTCAACAAAAAATGTTGGAGCTTTGCACACAGTAACGTTCTTTTCCAGCAAAAGGTTGACCAAAACAGCTGAATTGTGCACAACAGCCATCTCCAGAATATCAGTACCAAGTGTATGAGCGTTAATTTTACTTTCAACTGTTATGTCAGCACCTTGTTCAACTAAATACTTGACCTTTTTTAATGCACCCATATCAACAGCAGTATGCAAGACTGTCGATCCATCAGCACTTTTGCAATTTACATCAGCGCCGTTTTCAACTAGATATTTCACCATTTCTAGCGTACTTCTAGTAACAGCACTGTGCAGCACTGTCCTCAAGTAAGTATCTTTTCCATTAACATCAGCGCCCATTGCAACAAGATACTTTACAATTTCTAGCGCATCTTTGGTAGCAGCATAATGCAGAACTGTCTTCCCAATAAAATCCTTCTGGCGCATAATTCCTCGCGGATATTCATAAACAGCAGCATGCAGAACTGTCCATCCGTCAGTATCCTGTGCATTTACATCAGCGCCGTTTTCAACAAGATACTTTATAATTTCTGGCGCATCTTTATAAACAGCAGTGCGCAGAACTGTCCATCCGTCAGTATCCTTTGCATTTACATCAGCGCCGTTTTCAACAAGATACTTCACAATTTCTAGAACATCTTCATAAACAGCAGCGTGCAGAACTGTCCTCCCGGTAATATCCTTTACATTTACATCAGCGCCGATTTCAACAAGACATTTCACCATTTCTAGTTTACCTTCGGTAACAGCAACGTGCAGCACTGTCCACTCGTGAATACCCTTCTCATTTACATCAGCGCCCTTTTCAACAAGATATTTTACCATTTCCAGTGTACCTTCACTAACAGCACTGCGCAGTACAGTCCACCCGTGAGTATTCTTTCCTTTTACATTAGCGCCATTTTCCACAAGATATTTTACCATTTCTAGCGTACCTTTGGTGAAAGCATAAACAGCAGCGTGCAGAACTGTCCTCCCGGTAATATCCTTTACATTTACATCAGCGCCGATTTCAACAAGACATTTCACCATTTCTAGTTTACCTTCGGTAACAGCAACGTGCAGCACTGTCCACTCGTGAATACCCTTCTCATTTACATCAGCGCCCTTTTCAACAAGATATTTTACCATTTCCAGTGTACCTTCACTAACAGCACTGCGCAGTACAGTCCACCCGTGAGTATTCTTTCCTTTTACATCAGCGCCATTTTCAACAAGATATTTTGCCATTTCTAGCGTACCTTTGGTGACAGCATAGTGCAGCACAGTAGATCCGTCAGTTTTCATGATACTCACATCAGCACCCTTTTCAACAAGATATTTCACCATGTCTAGTGTACCTTCACAAACAGCATAGTGCAAGACCGTCCATTCATCCATGTACTTGCAATTTACATCAGCGCCCTTTTCAACAAGACTTTTTACCATTTCAAGCGTACCTTCAGTAACCGCAACGTGCAGCGCAGTCCACCCGTTCTTCTTTTTTCCATTTACATCAGCGCCAATTTCAACAAGATATTTCAACATTTCCAGCGTACCTTTGCTAATCGCGGCATGCAACACTGTCGTCCCTTCAGTATCCCGTCCATTTACATCAGCGCCCTTTTCCACAACATATTTCACTATTTCTAGCGAATCTTTAGTAACAGCATTGTGCAGAACTGTCCATTCCTCGTCATCTTTTGCGTTTACATCAGCGCCACATTGTTCAACTAAATATTTGACAATGTCTATTTCGGCAACATTAACAGCATGATGCAAAACGGTTTTTCCTGACTTATCCTTACAATTTACAAGATCACCACAAATCTTAGCGCGATTTTTCGCCATTTTTGACTGTAATGTACTTGGAAGATCTTTGTTATCGTCTAGGAAATTATGTTTATGGCTAACTCGAACAAAATACTTAACAAGATCGAGTAAACCATTCCTTGTCGCCATCATCAGAAATGTCTCACCATCTTCGTTCTGGGAATAAACGTCTGCTCCATGATCAACTAAATATTCAACAATTTTTTGATCTACTGGATTAAACTGAAAAGCACGCCAAAGAATTGACTTCTTCCAACGATTTTCCTTGTTTTTACCACATTCAACTTGCTTTTTTATTTCATCCCAAAAGTTCTGTTTTCCCGCTTCTTCGTAGACATTTATGCTTCCACTTGCCTCTTGCTTCTTCTCAATACCTATATAATTATGCAACATTCAGATGCAATTTACCGAGAGAAGCAATTTACAAAATAAGATGAAAAATAAACAACCGGGCCGTGCGAACGAAATTTCATTCCGGGTGAGACCTCCGCAACAATTTATGGGCTTTTGGGCCCCTTGTTTATGTGGTCAAAACAGGCGCGCATAACGCAGGCATGATTGAGTTCTGGAAGAGGTGAAGTTATATAATCGTCTGGAAAAAACGGCTGTAAACTGTTACATTTCTGTTACTTTAATAAAAATACCTATCTATAGCTTTCTCCCAAACAAGGCCTAAATCCGTTCACGTCAGGGATTTGTTGGGTGGAGCCATACACCTCCAAGGAGGCACACCCTAGCTTGTCTTAAATTTTAAAAGTACAAAGTATGCTAAATATAGTTTTTCCTTCAGCACGAGCAACATTTTATCCAATGATAGAAAAGTTCAAAATATGTCAACGGCTATAGGGTATAAATACTTAATCAAGTTCAATTATTGAATAGGCTGAATGATATTCATTAATTTATTAATTATTTAGTATCGCTTTTGCCTTAAAATAGCGAATGGTGAGCGCAATTGCCTAGACCAATTCCTGCGGACTATGAAAGTCAGGGCCGTAGCCAGAAGCTTAATTAAGGGGCCTTCAATTGAGCGGTCTAGCTACGGTCCGGATCAAAATGTCCGAGTTAGTAGAGGATAGGATTTTTACTTCTATCATAGGACACTTGTTCTAATTCTCACCGCCATCACATTCTTCATTTTGAATGCCTTTTTCTTGGAGTTCATCATCAACTTCTTTCTGTTTATTAACAGACTGGGCTTGTTTATTTTCGGACGAAGCGATATTATTGTTTTCCGTAAAGCTTGAAGTTACGTCGCTGTCCTCAGCCTGGGACATCATAACATTATCATCTTCCTTGAGTTGAGTCATTCTTATATTATTTGTTTACAATCTTCTTTGGTGCTTATAACAAAGTCATATCATCTTGCCTGACCGTCGTCTTCGAAAAAGCGCGATGGGAACCTGAAAACCAAGTTACTAATTACTGTTAGCACCAAATGTTTAAAATTGTGGAAAAATCACTATCCGGCGGCAGCACAATCTAATTTTCGTCAAATCGGCTCTGGAAGGATAACAGCTATCTTTGGAGCCAATTTTTACCCAATTTAGACCATTGCCAGTCACTTTTCTTTGTTTACGTCGGCGCGATTGTCTATAGTGAAGAGAAAGCAGACGAGATAGCAGCCGAATAGTCGTTCCAGTTTAACTGTTTAAGTAAAGTTCACGGCTTTATCTAATGTACTAGCATAACATATCAGTGTACACGACCCAATTTTGGTTTTCTAACGTTAATCTAGCCCAACTATATGTTTCGGTTGTATATCGCGTATCGATGATCGACAAACAAACGAAGGAAGAATGCTTTACATGCACTTCTTAATTCAAAATGCTGTTTGCTAACTTGCTACGCTAGCCCTGAAATATTGGCAAGTTTTTTATGAAACGAAAATATGTCTAAAAAAGACTTTACAAAATTCTAAGCAACACAACAGCTAAGGGGTTTAGACCAGTCACCATAGAAAGGGTCAACTGTACGATCAAAGTGTGTATTATTTATACCTTCATGTTCATAAACTGTAACTGAAACAATCGTCTTTAAAAGGGAATCAGTCGGGGATACAAGACGAATGTATGAATACGCACCCTCGATTTTGCCATTTTGTTATTGACTATTCTAGGGCTATTCTAGGTATACTTTGGGTCTCTACGGTTAATTAACACTGCTACACACAATATGCCTCGCACAAATATGATACTCGATAGTCCCATGATTATTAGTTGCGTCTCAGTTCTGTAGTATTGAACAAATTACTGACTAAGCAGGGTTCTTCATTAACTTCCTACCTTAAATAGTTGATATCCAACGATGTCGACACCGCACCTAAAATAAAACAAATATAATTTAGATAAAAAACCCTTGTAGTCTTCTTTCCAGACTAATCTTCAATCATGAAATGAATGTCGTCAATAATATTATTAGTTATCCAATAATATTAGTTATAGCCATTCAATCACTTTGTTGTATGAACTTGTATCATATAATTAATATGGTTGTATGCTGTATGTTCTGTCGATGAAGTAATCACGGCGGAAGTAAGATTGCCCCGAATAGTAAACGAAACTAGTTCTCAGCCTTTAGTAGGGTAAAAACCGTCAAAAGTACACAATAATTGGCACGGCCGTATTTTGTGCATTTTAAAACATTTTCAAACTAAACTTTGCCATTTTAGTAATGCTAGTATGAATTTAGTAGCTAGCTGTCGTTATTTATTTCCGTCTTCTTGCCTAGATACAAAGTTAATAGACTAACATGCAAATTGTGCCATTCTGGTAATATTTCGTTATCAAACTAAACGATTGCTGTGATTACTTTACAAATCTCGGAAACACGAATAATTTTTCCGTTTCCATCATCTGAAATATTTTATTTTTAATTTTTGTACCAATGAATTTATTAACAAGATATTTTAAAGTGCTACTGCAACGAAATTTTCGACCCCCTTTTTTATTAGCTCAATTTAAAGTGCTTACTTTCCTGATTTCATTTCTGAAAACAGAATCAAAATTGGCTTTCTCAAAATGTTTTTATAGCTCTCCAAAGTCGCGTTTTTTGCCACTTCCTGTGCGAACTTTTGCTCCACCATATTGTGGTTTGTGACGTAGAAAAGAGTACCGATTCGTAGCATGGCGTAAAAATACTAGTGTTAGGTAGCCTCGTCAAGGAAGAAGCTGTGTTTCTTACAGTCGCGACTAAGCCAGTATTCATCAAAATTATTAAATATCTATACATATGTTCCTAACGAAAAGATGGATCGCCAAGTGGAAGAAAATATTGAATTTTGTTCCGACTTTCTGTTTCATGGTGCGGTTCTTTGCGCGGCTAAGTCGATTTTAAAGATTCGTATATGACTCTTGTTTAGCAAGATTCCTTAAATAAAAGAGTATTGAAAGACGATTCTGTGCATACATTTGATGTCTGAAGAATCGTAGCACAAGTTGAAAGCTAACAGATATATAGGCAAAGGCTGATTTTATCATCAATGCGAAGATACTTCGCGCGCACATGCATTCATGATGAATTATGGTGATGTTGGCCTTGGTGTCTATAGTAATGTTAACAAACATAAAGGACACGCCCACATGGGAATTAAGGTTATTCTAAATATAGCGATTATGATAGAGTTGTTGACAAGTAGCCGAAGCGAAAGGAGCGAATAAAATATATGTCTATTATACGATCGTACGATCTCGCGAGATATAAAAGAACATTATATTGGCGACGAAGATAAAATAATAATACTTGAACGATGGCCGAAGAGCTAGATCAACCGCAACAACAACCGGCAATACAGATCATGCAATCTGTAACGATAAATCCTATGCCAGAATTTTCCCCAAATGCAAAAATTGGCACAAGTTTAGCCACAAGATGGAACAATTGGCAAGCAGACTTTGAGATGTATTTAACGGCAAGTAGCATTACGGATGCAACCAGAAAACGAGCATTGTTACTCTACCAAGCCGGACCAAGAGTGCGAGAGATTTTCAAGCAAATCCCCGAGACTGGAACAGACGCAGATTACGACGTCGCGAAGCAAAAATTGAAGACGTATTTCGATCCCCAAAAGAATCGAAGGTACGAAGTATATCAATTCAGACAGGAAACACAAGGAAACAACGAGACCTTAGACCAATTTCATACAAGGCTAAGAACATGCAATGTCAGAAACATGTGAATTCGGAGACGTTAATTTTGAAATTGAGGAACAAATAATAATAGGCGGAAATTCATCGAAAATACGAAAGCGAGCATTGCGAGACCCTACATTTGATTTAAAAGCCATGATGTTAGAAGGACGGCGTGACGAACAGAGCACATATCAAGCAAGACAGATCGAATCAAAAGAACCAAAAGACGGTGAGACAAATAAATTAGAACAAAAACCTAGTACTAGCGTAATTTGTAGAAATTGCGGGCGTAATTATCCACACACAGGAGCATGCCCAGCGAAAGACAAAACCTGTAATAACTGTGGAAAATCGAATCATTTCACCAATGTTTGTCGAGGAAAACAAAATCAAAAACAGCGGACACTGCGAAATCAAACATATAGATCAAATACGAAGTATAAGCCCAAGAATCTAAAAACATTAGACCAGGAACCAAACTCCTCGGACGATGACTATTTATATTCAATGACAGATCAGAAAGAAAATAGCAAAGTCAATGTAACGGTAAGCGGGGCCAAATTTAAAATAACAATTGACACTGGCGCGACAGTAAATGTCATTGATCGTAACACTTTCAACAAAATGCAAGACGTAAGATCGAACAAGCACGAAAGCTTTTGCACACGATACGAAATCACCAGTCCAATTCTTAGGCAAATTCGAAGCGGTTATAGAAACACGGAAGCAGATTTCGGTGGCAACATTTTACGTAGCAAAAGGTGAAAATAGTGGAAATTTACTTTCGCTATCCACAGCCCAAGACCTCGGACTTGTTAGCTTGCATATAGACAAACTCGCACCAGTAAAGGATACAGCACTTGAAAACATCATCCATAAGCACTCTAAAGTGTTTTCGGGACTCGGAAAATTAAAAGGGCAGAAAATTAAACTAGACATTGATAAAACCCAAACACCGAAAGCACAGCCACGGCGGCGTATACCATATCATATTAGAGAGAAAGTGAAAATGCGCTAACTGAGCTTGAAAAACAAGATATCATTGAGAAAGTTCCGGAAAACGAAGCCACACCATGGGTTTCTCCCATTGTGGCAGTTCCCAAAAAAGACGGACAGGTTAGAATATGTGTTGATATGAGACTCGCAAACGAAGCTATAAGACGAGTACGTCATCCGATACCAACAGTTAATGACGTGAGTTTCGCCCTAAACGGAACTAAATTCTTTTCGAAACTCGATTTGAGTCAAGCGTATCACCAGTTAGAATTAGAAGAACAGTCTAGATATGTGACCACATTTAGCACGCATGTAGGATTGTATCGATACAAAAGACTGAACTATGGTACTAACGCTGCCGCGGAAATATTCCAATACACTCTCCAAACTGCACTTCAAGGACTTGAAGGCGTAAAAAACATAGCGGACGATATCATTGTCTTTGGGTCGACAAGAGCTGAGCACGACGCCAATCTTGATAGATGTCTTGCAATAAAAGGTTTGAGACTAAACCAAAGCAAGTGCGATTTCCTAAGAAACACGTTGTCATTCTTCGGACAAATTTTCTCGGAAGAAGGTACGAGACCTGATTCTAAGAGAGTCGTGATTTACTAAACGCACCTCAGCCAAATAATGCGCATGAAACCAGAAGCCTTCTTGGTATGGCTAACTATTCTAGTAAATACATTAGAGATTTTGCAACCCTGACCGCTCCACTGCGTGAACTGACAAGAAAAGACGTTCGATTTGAGTGGACGCAAAAACACCAAAAGCATTTGAAAAGCTAAAGAACACACTCGCGACTGCGCCATGTATGGCATACTTCGACAAAACGAAGGAAACATTTGTAGTCGTTGACGCAAGCCCAGTAGGAGTTTCGGCGATTTTGTCCCAAAAAACCAAAAAAGGTGACATTAACAACCAGCAGATCATTGCGTATGCCAGCCGAGCGTTGACCGACACTGAGAAAAGATATTCTCAAACGGAAAAAGAAGCGTTAGCGATAATTGGGCAGTTGAACACTTCCATCTATTTTTATTTGGTAGTGAATTCACATTAGTAACAGACCATAAACCTCTAGAAATAATATATGGACAGCGTACAGCTAAAACATCCGCACGTATCGAAAGATGGGTACTTCGCCTCCAACCATATGCGTTCAAGATAATATATAAATCAGGTGCAAACAACCCAGCGGATTATCTTTCTCGTCATCCAACCAATGAAAGTAAGCGAAAACAAGAGAAGATGACAGAACCGTACATCAATTTCGTAACTCAAAACAGTGTTCCTAAGGCAATGAAGGTCCCTTAAAGGAAATACTTGATGCAACTAATGCTGACGCGGCATTATTAGAACTGCGTGACGCAATCAAAACCAACAAATGGGATTCCCCCGTAGTGAAACCATTCAAAACAGTGAAGAATGAATTGACAACCACCACAGACGGCATAATATTGAGAGGAACGCGAATTGTTGTCCCTGCTGCTTTGCAACAACGGGCAATAGACATTGCGCATGAAACGCACTTAGGCATTGAGAAGGCGAAATCACTAATTCGCGAGAAAATATGGTTTCCGGAAATTGATAATCGAGTAAAGGACACAATCGAACAGCATGCCAGGCTGCAGGTAGACCAAAACACCAGAGCCTTTACGCATGACAGAAATGCCAGAATTACCATGGAGTGTCGTACACGTAGACTTTTATGGACCACTACCTACATCTGAATACTCTTAGTCGTAGTGGATAGATACTCAAGATTCCCAAAGTGGAGATCGTTCATCCACACGAGCTTCAACTGTAATTCCGAAACTGGACAAAATTTTCTTGTCCATGGAATACCTGACACAATCATATCGGACAATGGACCTCCGTTCAATGGAGACGAATATGCACGATATATGAAAA